TTTACATATATCAATGTATTATGTAAATATTGTCCTAGATATCCTTACATGGACAAAAGTGTCCTGAATGTAATTCCGGGGGTTACATGGCAGATGTAAATAGAAATAAGATTAGACAATACTAATAAATTAGTAATAGGTTTTCTTACAATACATAATAAGGCAAACGATAACAAGACAACGTACAACAAATACAGTGTCTTAAAAATAACAACAACATAAGCAAATATTGCTTTATTTGAAGAATTAACTATGTATCGTTAACTATTGAAACAATGTTGTTTCGTTAAATAATATAAACATATAGATATAAATGTAGATTTGTATTGACCAGTTTAGTTAGTAAATCGCTTGATGATTGCACACGGAAAAAGGAAGGTTAAGCTTTAACTGCGTACGGATTAAATCAGGTAAAATATAGATACTTAAAATTAAAAAGATAATGCCAAGTGTTAAATGATTGCACATAAATAAGGCAAATAATTAACCTAAATTTTGTTGAAACTAATAAGTCTTTTAAATTACACTATTTTTAGTTGGGCGATTTAAATAAATACAAATTGAAGTAGCTAGTTTAGTTAATGAAACTAAATAGATTATTTTATTTTATTATATTACATTACATTTAATATAATAACATTTATACACGGTCATAAAACATACTAACCATATAAGCTTAAAACTGTCTTTAATAAAAAACATTATTTTCTTATGATTATTTACAGCCATTAATTATACTTGTGTATATTTTCTATTATTTCGGAACTAGACCAGTAGGCCCTACGCGAAGGGAGCTTATTAAAAAATCGATAACTTTCAGGATCACTTTTGATAGGGTTCGTTTTATCTACATAACTATGTTTGTACATTCAGTTTACTATAAAGCTTTCGGAAATATTAATATTTTTTTTTATCACACACCTTTATCTTTTGTACACAGTTTTAAGTGCAAATTTGTATTTAGAAAAATACTAGCTATCACAATAAAGCAACGCATACGTGTTGACATCGGTTTGAGAAATCTAAATCTATCATCAGAATTATAAAATCATTTTTGAAAGCGAAGTTTTAGATGTTTGAAACGTTGTCAATTTTCAAGCCTTTTAAGGTGTCCATGGCAATCTCAACAGCTGGCAGTGACTATACACTAAATCTATTTATATTTTATAAACTACTAGCGTACCCGTCACCCGCGCGTTGCCACGGGGATAGAAGAAAGTCTGACGAAATGTATTAGTAGGATTTCACCAATCCGTTACCAATCATATCTTCCTAGACGCGTGACCTTGTTTTCTAAAGCTGTGTTATTTAAATTTAAACAATGACTGCGCTTGGATCATAATTATCGGGACACGGGTTTACCTACATTACCAAATGAAATTCTTGAATGTTCGTTAATAACTCACCAAAATTATGAGGAAGAACACACTTCGTGACCACCCATGTATCAGAAACGTAGAGCGGCACTCTCGGGAGCCCCCAAATAACACTACCGCAGAGGCGCAGCGTAGGGCTGTTGGCTCTTTAAAAATAACAAAGTGCCAATGTGCTAACAGGATAACCCAGAATGCCACATAGCATCCAGAAGCAAGGATGCAGATTGCATCATTCGCTAAAGTTACACAAATCAAAAGGGTTTTTTAACATGTAAAATTTTTGTTTGTTAAAGTGTTATAAACATCAGTGTGACTGATGCAATATGTTAGCATTACTAATTGTATATTATTAGAAGCTCGATCTCAATTTCTGATTGGATCGTATAAAAATAGATGCTAATTGCATCATTCGCAAAGTGACGAAACTGCACAGCGGATATCCTCGCGTTACAAAGTTATTTTTAGCAGTGTGACTTTTATTTTTTATTTGAGTTTCCCTCCTAAACTGAAAATTTTGTTTGCAGCCCGATCGCACCCTACCAGGGCGCCGGCTGACTCGCCTGATTCAATTTATTGAGCTACTGTAACGGCTTATCTTATCCATTATCTACCGCACTGTTTAGAACAAACGTAGGTGCCATTGCGCTCACGGAAAAGCCCAGGGCGCCAAACTGAACCCTGCAGGGGCGCCGATGGACGCGCCTGGTTCGATATAGTCAATGATTAATGTCGCCCATCGTGTCTTTAGTGATTAGGCTTTTTTTTTAATAAACGCGCCATATTTTTCGCAGGGAAGTCCGGGGCGCTTCGGGTCGTGCAAACTACGGGGCGCCGACGGTTGCGCCTCTTGAAGTTTTTATGCTGAGTATAGTATTACTCATTAACCGCTATGCAGGGCGCACGATTAGCTGATGCCACGTGCTAACGTAGCCGCTCTGGAACTCTGGGCGCCAAATTGTGTATTGACGAAAATCTCACCCTTGCAGGCGCCACTTATATCATATTTTCATTATTTTGTTCGCAAAAACCTACTCGGGAGTATTCTCATCAACTCCCCAAAGTTTCATGGCTTACGAATGAAAGGTGTCGAGAAGCATCTGACTTTTATTTTTTAGATACCATATATAGGGAAAATCGAACCCTCCCGTGGCGCCACCCCTAGAAATTTTAAAAATATTTTTTGCGCAATAACCTTCCTAGGAGTATCCTCAACATCTTCCCAAAGTATGATGGTGATCGTGTGAACGGTGTCACTGCAATTCACTTTTATTATTTTTATATACCGTATATTGAGAAAAATTGCACCCTCCCGTGGCGCCGCCCTTGCGAAATTAACAATTTTTTTTTTACAGAACCCTTCCCCGGAGTGTTCTAATGAACTCAGTTTGATGGCGATGGGATGAACGCTGTCAAACCAAAATCGACTTTTATTTTTATATACCGTATATAGAGAAAAAAACAAATTGCGCCCTGGCGGGGCGCCGCCCCTGTGAATTTGAATTTCTTTTCCCGCAGAAACCTCCCCAGAAATATTCACAACAACTTCCCAAAGTTTCACGGTGATGTGATGAGAGGTGTAGTAATAAAAGACAGACGGACAGACAGACAGACACACACACAGACATACAATGCTTTATATATATATAGATTAGTTTGATATATATATATATATATGTATATATATATATATATATATATATATATATATATATATATATATATATATATATATATATATATATATGCTGTATGAACTATATCCATCATGGCATCTGTGAGAGGACAGTGGCATCAGATTTTTTTTCTAACCATTACCCAACACATAGAATAGTTGAACAGTCAGCATAAATATTCTATCATTATTTAGATCACTCAATAGTTTAAATGTTTTATTTAAATCTGACAATTATTTTTATTTGTATGAGGATAAATCATGCATGCATTTTTCAAATTTTCTTATATTTAGTGACGAGGATATTTTCTGGCCATTTCAAATAGAAACATATACATAATTTTATAATTTAATTTCGCTGTTAATATAAATTACGTGTACCTTTTTTCACATTTTAAAAACTAACAATATGAGCATTGCATTTTCTGCAGATTGGTCTCATGTAATTCTCTAACCCAAGTAGTCTTTCGAAAGTAGTAAAGATACTTCTTTCTTCATAACATTTTAATTTAAAATATATACTTTAGCTAATATCGTCCCCCACCCCATATCCCAAAAGCTTTAAGAGCCCCCCTTCCCTCTTCTCCTGGAGAACATTTTCTTACGCTGTTCATTATTCTACCTCCAGAAAAATTCTTTTGTCAAAACAATATAGCAAATATAAACAAAGTTTAATGAATGATGAATTATATTTTCTTGCCGAATTTTCATTGAAAGACTTGTAGACAAAACAAAAAAACAACAACAAATGATTTTACGATATGATTATACTTTTAAGGACTAGCTAGACCAATGCTATAGAAAAAAATATGACACCTTGTTTTCACAGAACCAGAATTTATAAAATACATTTTCTATTTTCGAGATTTATGCAGATAAATTAAATTGAAAAAAATAATTGTGGCTATTAATCTTACCATTATTTTAATATATCTTTTATTTTAATAAATGTTTAACGTAAAAATTTTAAAGAAAACTAAACTTGAATGTGAAAATGTAGACTGTAGTTAAGAAAGCCTGGATGTGGGGTAGAAAAAAATACATATATTACAGTTTCTTTTTATGAATGTAACCTTTCTATTGATTTTTGGTGTGTATGGAAGTCAGAATTCTCACTACATTTTTCTTTCGCAGAAATATGAATTCTTGTTTAACCTTTTGTGTCGAGTAAAGCACTGAATACAGCAGGATATGTCTGGTTCCCAGAATTCCTTTCTGTTGACGACGTTCTATGTGGTCGACACCACGTGACCAGGCTATAAGCCTTGCCTTTGTTTCTGTTGGATACAAAAAGACAGCATTTTAGCTAATTAGCGAGTAGTAACCTCGCTATCGAAGTAAATAGAATTGCAATACTAAGGTAAATATAAAAATTTTAAACATACTTTTTAAGTGAATTGATTACGATATTAATTAAAATACTTTGAATTCGTTTAAGGAAAGTTGCATTTAATTATATATATATATAGATAAAGAGAGAGTGAGAGAGAGAGAGAGAGAGAAGGAGAATTGCTGTAGAAAGCCTACTAATTATCCGAGTAATATTCATAGACAACAAACAAACAAAATCTACTTCAATCACAACATGAGTTATTTATAGTCAGATTGCGTTTTATTGTGTAAAATGCCTAATTATTTCATTAATGAGAGTAAAAATACTCAATAGGTTTCTAGTATTGAAAAAAAAAATGGATTCCTGCAAAGGTAAAGATCCCATCGATATTCTGCTAATAGGAAAATTGGAAGACGAATTCGCCACAAGAAACTTCGTTTTACAAACAAAATATTCGGGTTACTTAGACTGTTGCAGTGCTCTGAGATTCTCCATTGAAAGAAATGTTTCAACTTTTAAAGGAAGGGAAATTCACGTAGTGCAAACTGCAGGGTTGCGTAACGTTTCACTAAACAATAAGCACGACATTAAATTCAGTGTAAATGAAGTGTTAGACGCTATGGCGAAGAATCCAAAAGGCTACGATGCTATTATTTACATTGCAAGGTATGAAAATCAGCTAAGTGTTGAAGACGCGCATGCGATACAATTTTTTAAACAAGTCCTTGGAAGTGATTTCATGCGTTGTCATGGGGTAATTCTCCTTTTTACTAACGGTAACAGTTGCGACACCGATGCAGAAAAGATGAAGGAAAATTTCAAACTTGAAATGTGGCTGAAAAAGCAAAATCAATCAAACATTAAATCTCTTATAAAAGAGTGTGGCTCCCGTATTATGCTATTTAACAAAAGATGTAAAGGTGAAAATCCTAATCAAAGCATGATGGAACGATTGATACAGTTGATTGATGGTCTAAATAATGAAGGGAATAAATATACCATCGACAAATTTCAAAAAGCTCACAAAGAGACGGAAAAACTGATTGGAGAAGTTAAAAGACCGCATCTTAAAGGCGAGCTATATATTAAAATGTGTCGCATAACTCAGGAACTGAACGACATCAGACTCGTCACATTGGGCGAGGATCAAGTTCTGAGAAAATTACTCAATTTAAAAAGCGAGGCAGAACTTATTTTTGCTGAGCTTGAAGAAGAAGATAACGAAACTAGCGCGCTATGCGTCGCAATGAAAATATTGAACACATTGCAAAAGTCTATTAAAGAAAAGCTGAGTCTATTTAGTTCTTTATAAAGCCTGTAATTTAGTAAAGGTCGCTCGACAGTTGAGAATCAGCTGACATGCTTGAAAGAAACACTTTTAAAATAATAACAAATAAGCTTACGAAAAATCGAAAGAGTATTTTGAATAGCAAAATGATGTAGAGGCAAAATAAATGCTTAATAGAATTGAATGTATTGTAAACTCAGAAATAAAGATGTGTACTGCTATGAATAATTCGCTTGCATTATCCCCGTTATTTATACAGTTGTGAAAAAAAAAGTTTTAAGTTAAAGAAAGTACATCTATATTTAGTCTACAAGAGTGGACATTGAATCTACTGTCAGTCAACAACAATAATATTTCAAAGCCCCAACTAAACTCATTTGAACATGTTCTAAAGTCATTTAGAAAGCTTATGTAACCTTATGTTAAGAATTTTTTATAACATTTTGTCTGTTTCATACTGTGTTTATTGACAATAAATATAATGTATAATACCGTTTTAATTTAAAATATTTATCCTTTTGAGTTTATTATAATTAGCCTTTATTTTTTATATAAGCACGGCTTTCTTACAAAATTATTGTCAGCAGCTATTAGAATATTAAGCGATTTCTATATATTGTGTGAAATGTCACTGTTAGCAGATTATAAATAGGACCTATATGTATTTAAGTTTTACTATATTTTAAAATTTAGAAGTGTTGTTATTAATTGCACATTGGAATTGTTCTTTTTAGAATAAATAACACAAATGGTTTTTTAGTACTCCCAGTTTTGTTTTACATTATTTGTGCAAGTCTTGGTGTGTTATTTGAACTTGTGTAAATGATCTGATGCGATCTTTACATACAACATTACATACAAGTATTAAATCAGATGAAAACAAACGACCGTGAAGATTATTTTATTTCACTTTACCATTAATGTAATACTTTAGAACATAAATCATACAAATGAGTCAAATTAACATACACATTTATAAGTAAAACAGACCCAGGTTTGAAATTGTTATTTACATAAACAACTGAGGTAAGTATTGTTTTAAATGTGTTCACAGCTGTAACCAAATATAGAATAGTGTTATCCTGTGTTTATAATTTGTTTGCTTGTACGGAGCTGCCACATGACTGTAAGCATTGAACAGCTCACACTTTTGGCAGATGAAGTAGAGTTCATGTTTCTCGACCTCATGTGATTGAGCAAAAAAGGAATAGATGATGCCTTCTTTTGTATAGATATACATCCCTTCTGGGAAAAAAATATTACCATACTAATAAAATTGGTAAAAAGATAATTACATATTACAATTTTTGTTGTTTATTTATAAAAATATATTTTGCTATGAAATAAATTGCGTATTAAAAAAAAAGAAATCCATTAGTGCTCATGCAGTGAATATTGCTTGTGCGTAAATAGACAAACAAACTTGCATTTGTTAAAGAAAACAAATTTCCTCTAGTTTATGGCAACTTAATTACATGTAATAGTTATTTGACGATACACTGTAGCACACAAAAAAATCATTTATTAAATGACATTAAAAGACATTCATATTTTGTGTCGTAAACATCAATATTAAAATAATAATACACTAAATTTCACAATGTACTGCTTATTTTTCATGGATACAATTTTTTTAAAAAGCGTTTTACAAATTAACAGAACAATCTTAAAACACCATAATTTTTAGATGCAGCCTATATATGTTTGAAGAATACTTTATTTGACTTTTTTTTCGGTTCGTCCCTTATTTACTACTAGTAGAATATTCACGCGATCACGTTCAGCAAGAGAACACATTGTCTCTATTATTTATGAAAAAAAAAGTTTCAAATAAATAAATAATAAAAACCCATATAACTATAGGAGTTAAATAAGTCATTTATATGAGACATATCTTAGGCCGACGGTTTATTTTGAAATACTAGTAATCTCTTGACAATAGTCGTAACAAATGGTCGGCGTGGTCAAGCCGGTAAAACTCATGGCTGCTAAACCTGAAAGGTCCAAGTTCTTACCCCAAGAGTTATAATACTCATTGCAACCAATTTTTAGATTTAATTTTAAAAAAGGGAAATAAAAAATGGTCCAATGATAACCAAAATTATCGTCAACAACATAACACAATGTTACTCTGTACCTCATGATAGAGTACCCCAGACAACGTGACTCTCCAGCAGACAGCCTAGTTTATATTCTATTGAGGACATCGTCATAAACTAAGTTCGAAACCAGGTCAAATGGCGCCAACAGGGCCGGCGCTACTTATAAGGCGAACTAGGCGGTTGCCTAGGGCGCTAGGGGGTCGCAAAAATGTGAAGTCCCCAATAGTAAAAAGTACCTAATAATTAATAATTTTGATTATATTATATAAGCTTTAGACAGGTTAATAAACAAAGGCATGGCGATCGATATCGGTGCCCAGGACAAACTATCAATTGTGCACCCCATCTTAAAATTAGGTCTATATAATATATATACTCGAGTTGGTGAAAATGCGCCCCCAAGCTCCCTCACTATGAAAAGTCGGGGGCCTTTTTACCAGTCACTTTGACTTTTTATTTTTGTGTCACACAATTGATGTAGTAAACAATTAAATAAGTCCGTAAAGTCAAGTAGCAGTCAACATTCTTTATTTCGACTGTATATAATTGAGTAATCAGCTTTTTATATTATTATCTAACGAGTTTGAAAATCCTTTGGATTGGCGCCAGTGCAATTTGGATTTTTAAATAAGGGTAAGTCTAATTTTCTCTCTGAATTAGAAATCTCGCTAGCCATGGAGAGATTTAGAATTTTAAACTAAATTAATTGTCGGCACCACAAGATCCCAAGCAGAATTTTAAAGCAATATTCTAATACACACACACACATATATATCTATATATATATATATATATATATATATATATAAAGCAATGTATGTCTGTGTGTGTGTGTGTGTGTCTGTCCTTTATGCATTACTACACCTCTCATCACATCGCCGTGAAACTTTGGGAAGTTGTTAAAAATATTCCTGGGGAGGTTTCAAATTCGCAGGGGTGGCGCCCCGGTAGGGCGCGATTTGTTTTTCTCTATATACCGTATATAAAAATAATAAAAGTGAATTGCAGTGACACTGTTCACACTATCACCATGAAACTTTAGGAAGTTGTTGAAAATATTCCTGGGGAGGTTTCTGCGATAAAAAATATTTCAAATTCGCAGGGGTGGCGCCCCGGCAGGGCGCGATTTGTTTTTCTCAAAATACGGTATATAAAAATAAAAGTCGATTTTGGTTTGGCATCGTTCATCCGATAGCCATGAGACTTTGGGGAGTTCATCATACCACTCTAGGGAAGGGTTCTGTAAAAAAATCATTTTTAATTTAGCAAGGGCGGCGCCACGGGAGGGTCCGATTTTTCTCTATATACGGTATATAAAAATAATAAAAGTGAATTGCAGTGACACCGTTCATCCGATAGGCATGAAACCTTAGGAAGTTGTTGAAAATATTCCTGGGGACGTTTATGTGAAAAAAAATATTTCGAATTCGCAGGGATGGCACCCCGACAGGGCGCGATTTGCTTTTTTCTATATACGGTATATAAAAATAAAAGTCGATTTTGGTTTGGCATCGTTCATCCGATAGTCATGAGACTTTAGGGAGTTTATTATACCACTCTAGGGAAGTGTTCTGTAAAAAAAAAATATTTAATTTCGCAAGGGCGGCGCCACGGGAGGCTGCGATTTTTCTCTATATACGGTTTATAAAATTTCGGTTTCACACCGTTCATCCGTGTACCATGAAACTTTGGGGAGATGATTAGATCACTCAATGGTAGGGTTCTGCAAAAAAATATTGTTTAATATTGCAAGGGCGGCGTCCCCGGGTTGGGGGTGGGAGCGATTTTTTTTCTCTATACACGGTTTATAAAAAATAAAACTCGGATGCGGTTCATCCGAGTACCATGAAACTTTAGGGAGTAGATGAGAATACTCCCGATAATATTTCTGCGGAAAAGAAAACTAAAGTTTCTTATGGGCGGCGCCATATAGGGTACAACTTTCGTCAATACACGGTTTGGCGCCCAGAGTTTTAGAGCGACTATGTTGGCACTTGGCATCCGTTAATCGAGCGTCCTGCATTGCGAGTAAGGAGTACTACTATATTCAGCTGTAAAACTACAACAGGCCTCTAAAAATAACTTTGTAACGCGAGAAAATCCTTCTGTACAGTTTCGTCACCTTACGAAAGATGAAAAAACAACTTTTTGAATATGAGGAGCCTACTGTAGAGTTTCGTCAATTTGCGAATGATGCAATAAGCATCTATTATTAGACAATCCAGTCAGAAATTGAGATCGAGCATCTAATAATAGACCATTAGTAACGCTAGCATATTGCATCAGTCACACTGATATTTAAAACACGTCAAATAATTTTTTTACGTGTTAAAGAAAAAAATCTTGAATGACGAAATCTGCATCTTTATTAACAGGATGCTATTTGGCCGATGGCGCCTGTTAGTTTTAAGGAGCCAGGGGTAGTACGCCGCGCCTATGCGGTAGTGTAATCGGGGGGGGGGGGGGGGGCATGAGAGCGCCCCTCTACGCTCTTAAACAGAGGCGCTCACCGAAGTGTGTTCTACCATATTAATTAATGTACACTCAAGGTTTTAGAAAAGTAGGTCACGCGTCTAAGAACATAAATTTATAATTGATAAAGCGTTGGTGAAATCCTAATATATTTCGTCAAACTTACTTCTATCCCCGCGGCAACGCGCGGGGGTCGGGTACGCTAGTATATGTATATATATATATATATATATATATATATATATATATATATATATATATATATATATATATATATATATATATATATATATATATATATATATATATATATATATATACATATCTATATATATGTTTATATATATTATGGGTTCCATGACAAATGATCTCAGACAAAAAATTTGCTGTGAGATATTTTGTCTGAGATCAATTGTCCATGGTATCATTTGTCCTGATATATTTTGTCCTGGGATCATTTGTCCTGAGATCATTTGTCAGTGAGATATTTTGTCTGAGATATTTTGTCTGAGATCATTTGTCCTGAGATCAGGCCTAAATACACACATATATATATATATATATTAAGTATAGGCCTATATTTACATATATATATATATATATATATATATATATATATATATAATGTTTTAAACCCCAATATTATATATATATATATATATATATATATATATATATATATATATATATATATATATAAAATATTGGGGTTTAAAAAATTGCGGGGGGGGGGGGGGGGGAGAGGCGCGTTTTATTAAGTTTTGCCTAGGGAGCTAAATAACCTTGCGCCGGCACTGGGCGCAGATCATCACAATGTTGAAAAAAATACAGTTACAGCCGTCTCCTGTTTGATATTTGAATCCTGTTTTAGTTTTAATGTTAATTTTATTCTATTGTAAAATAATCTTTGTTAAAATTCCTAGTTCTGAAACTTTGTTTAGAAGCATTGATCTAAATAATCTATATTTAAGCCCTTAGTAAACTTTAAATTTTTTGAAAGGGTCCATCTTCAGTCCATGTAGGGACCTAACATTTTTTAATAATTCTTAGTAGACCAAAGCATTAAGCAATGTGATTTTTTTCCATAAAAGAGCTACACTTGCTATCCGTGGAACTGTGATTGTTAACTTTGTGCCATTATCACAATTAATTCTTTGCTATATAGTGTAAGCCAAAGCAGGAGTAATCAATTATTCTTTTATGTATTCCTTTGTATGACAGAAGGATTTTCTTGGAACCTTTATTCATAGCGTTGTGTCCTGATTAATTTTTCTCCTACGTTATGATCTAGCTGTTATATATGTCATTGTATTGTTTATTGTAAATGTTTACACAGTTTAATAAAGGATTTCGTGGAGCCTCTATTGTTGCCGGTATATTGCGCCACTCTCAAGTATTTTTTGGCTCTATTGGTGTTTGGTCTGATTAACACAAGTGTCTGTCTTGCAGTCTTTTTTTTTTCTTGGTATTTTAATGGGGTGTCCCGTCCATGTCAAAGAAGGAAGAAGGGAGCTGGACATTACCCCCCCCCCGTCAAAATCCAAATAGGGCTAGGGCTAGGGGTAGGGGTAGGGCTAGGACTAGGGCTAGGGCTAGGGCTAGGGCTAGGGCAGGGTTTTGGGGGTAGGGTTAATAAAAGGGGTAAATGACCCCGAGGGGTAGTGTTGGAGAGGGAGATTCCCGGGTTATTTTGACTAGTGTGGGGGGGGGGGGTACGTTTCCAAGACCTGCTGAAGAAATGACGCCGTTGGACTAAAGGATGGTATTCGGATCCATGTGGATAAAAACAGGTTACATTTAGCATGAAAGGACCTTCCTATACAACAAGCTTCCATGCTAAATGTGCACATTAATAAAGTTCAATAAGAGTTTAAAATAAAATAATAACAGCTCCGGCTGTTATTAAACCACATTAATATATAGTGCAACTCTTAGGTAACCGAGCGAAGAAAAAATAAAGAAATAGCACTTATGAGTACTATGTTATATATATTTTTAAATTAGAATGTTATATATATATATATATATATATATATATATATATATATATATATATATATATATATATATGTATATATATATATATATATATATATATATATATATATATATATATATATATATATATATGGTTACAGAGACAGGCGTATACATAAATACATATTTATAGATTATGATCAGGATAGGTGGAAAATATTGTATTGTTTACAATGTTGTTATAGTTGCCACCACGTGATATCCTGTAGTTGTTCATGGCCAGACTGTTTAAAAGCTAGCTTGCTTAACTGAGTGTGATATAATTCTGAAGCGTTCGACTATAAAAGTAAAGAATATTTCTTCGTTTCTTCTTTATGTTCAAATAATTTCAAAATATTTTACTTATTAATTAATATATTGTATTATATTGAGAGAAAACAGGTAAGGACTATTACTGTATTAAATCGATTTGCTTAATAGAGTAAAAAAAGGTTTTTCTTTAAATATTAACGTTTTAAACAAATGCAATGCTGAACGAAAATTGAACGACTACTACCTTGTACAATATTTTCGTTTATTAAACTAACAAAAATATTATTCTTAATTTACTTACTTAGAATGAAATAGTACAATTTCTTAACTTTTTGAGATTTTACTGGCTGGTGATTTAATTCAATATTACAATTTAAATATAAAGTTTGCAAATATGTCAATGCTTTAAGGATTCATGTGTTGACACTCGCACATGAACAAAGTAAATTAAAAATAAATAATAAATAAATAATAATTTAAATAAGCTGTCGCATTGCGGATGCTAGACTGGCCAAGAATTTCTACCTCATGATTTATGTATCCTATTATTTGTGCAGCAGGTTAACTTATAAAAAAGATAATCGATGGCAACCTAAAGGTAACTTGTGTTAAAACAAACAAAAATGCGGCAAAAATATATTCCTTAAGGTGAATTCAGCATTAGCAATCGGTTAGCTTAATTATACTTGTGTAGATTTAAACAAATGTTTTCTTTAATCCAATATGCATTATGTAATAAACTGACATATCTGCAGAGTAATATGTTTAAAATCTTTTGAGTGAGCCGTAAACCATTAGGCATCATTTGAGATAATATGTTAATGGTTTTATTTTATCATCATTTCAGACTCTTACGACATTATGTCGTCCTTCGTAAAAAACGACCCAATCCGCATTCTGCTGGTAGGAAAAACAGGACAAGGAAAAAGCTCTACTGCTAATACTATCTTACGAATGAAAAACTGCTTTGCATGCGGAAACTGTGCGCAATCCGAAACATCTAAAACACAGAGGGCGAGTTCCACATTCAAAGGAAGAAAAATTGAAGTTGTAGATACACCAGGCCTCGCTGATACAAGATTTAACGAAAAAGAAGACACCGAATCAGCTTTCAAAGCCATGTCGCAAGCTATGGATTTGATTCCAGAAGGGTTTAATGCTATATTGTTGGTTTTAAAGTACGGAGATGAATTAACCAACGAAGACTTGAGGGTAATTAATAATTTAAAGCAAATCCTTGGAAATGAATTTATTCGATCTCACGGAATTTTGTTGTTTACGTTTGGAGACAATTATGAAACAGATGAAGATGTTATTGAAAAAAACCTACCATTTTCAAAGTGGTTGGAAAAGAAAAAGAAAAAAAACATTCAGACTCTTATTGAAGAATGCGGTTCTCGCACCATTTTGATGAACAACAGATGTAATGATGAAAAGAAGAAACAAGGCCAATTACAGCTTTTGATACAAATGATTGATGAACTTAGCAACGGTGGCAATAAATATACAAAGAATATGTTTTTGGAAGCTCAAAATAAACTTTACAAATCTTCTGCAGGTTTTGAAAGGGACTTTCTGAAAATCAGTGAAATATATAAGAAACTTCAAGAATTTACTACAATTAACGAGGACACATTGGAAAGCGTTCAAGCTTGCAAGAACGAAGCAGATATGCTTTACGAAGAGATTGAAAAGTACTCATATAATCTGCCAGTAGAACTGAAAATTGTGAAAGATTTGCAAATGTGTATTAAAGAACTAATTGGTCGCTTTAAATCAAAAATATAAAAAAAAAATTAATTTGAACAATTTATTATTTTTGTCTTTTGTAATAATAGGTTGGAAATCATTGAGAAAGAAAGAAGCCAAAAACTAACGGAGAAAAAACAACAGCTGATGTATTGTGGCACAATGTACAAGTAGATCATACAAACTACACTTTATTTTATAATTATTTCAATGTTGTCATTATGCATTCATTAAACATTTAAAGTCAGCTTTTGATTTTTTTAAACTCATTTTATTTGTAACACTAAGTATAATTTTAAAATTTGTATATATTTTATTGTATGTTTATTGTTATTTGATACTTTCAATTTGAAAACTTTTTGAACTTGTTAAAATCGCCATCAGAGTAGAAACGCCCACACTAAGCCGCTGCTTGCGAAGCGATTATAAGTAAATAGCTTTATACAAACAGGACTAGAAGAATATTGCTACAGACTGAAAAACTGTTGAAATTCCGAAGAGAAACGCCATCAATATCCGGATATAAGTGCGGAACGCAGGGATGGTGTGGTTAAGTAGTAGACGGCATGACTGCATATCTAAAACATCGAGATCAGATCCCAGGCTCGAGTCCGTAGAGCGTCTCTAAATCCATCACGCTTCGATGGGTACTTGACTCACGGTAGGTAAAATAAAGGCAGCTTGGCATAGTCCTGACCACATTATCCCTTCACATAGTACGACCACAGAAACATGTCAGATCCGAAAGGCCAGCTTTTTTTTTTTATGTTAGAACGACAGCTTATTGAACGAGGTTGATATTTGAAATTAGCTCAGTGTAGGACTTGAGACAGTGGCGTAGCGAGGTCGGGCGTCACCCGGTGCGGCACTTAATGGTGTCACCCCCCAGAGGCGTTGCGACCCTTGCCGGGGACAAGCTTTCAAGTTTTCGATTTGCACCCCCACCCTCCTCAAACTTTCGATTTGCACCCCCCCCTCATGAAAATTCCAAAAGAACTGTTGTTTATGTTTAGTGCCATTCTTTTTTCTAAGTTTAAAAATGTACGTTACATAGTTTCACATAATGGAAAAGCATGTGTATACTCCTAGTTTATACACACACGCACGCACACACACACACACACACACACACACACACACACACACACACATATATATATATATATATATATATATATATATATATATATATATATATATATATATATATATATATATAGCCTATATTTATACGTGTGAGTAGTTTTTTCTTTATATATGAATTAGGGTACCCGTTGCACTCATTTGTCATGTCGATGCGAGCTGATACAATATTTCAAGATTTCATCAACCCGTTACCAATCGTATATTTTTTATCGTGTGGCCTTGTTTTCTAAAATTGATTTATTTATGTGTAAAGTGGAAACGGCGGCCATCAATACTGGTCAGGACTGTTACACACACTACCGTGTATGTGATTTTATTTTCTCTATATCACAACAAGAGAAACATCAAACACATAAGAAAAATAAAATCAAAATTACTCATTTAATTTTATTCACATTAAGAACTACATTAATAACTAATCTTTAACCTACAATTAACATTTTGACGTTCCTAGTTACAACAGGTAGTAGCGAGCTAAATTAATTGTTATAAAAATATATTTTAAAATACAAGCAATTTGCAAAATAGTCTATGTTGTTCTTTGTTCTTTTCAAACTTACTGTATGTTAGCCAGTTTTAGAAAACTATGTAAAAAAATGTCTCTGAACATCTAGGGATGTCGCTTACAGTAGCAGCATGCGCAGTAAGTAATAATTGAAAATAGTTGCTGTTAAATATGTACAAAAGTAAGATATGTTTACAAAAACAAAATTTAAAAGATAATTAAATCCAATTAAAACACACATAAATTCATAAAAGGAATATTGGATAAAATACACAAGTGCATACATTATCAACCAATTACTAATAAATTATTATAAAATCACAACAACAATAAATTTAAAAAAACTGTAGAAAAATGTGTAACATGGTATTAAACGATACCGTCCTTGAAAACAATATTTGACACCAACTCCTTTACAATCTTCGTCAAGTTCTCTAGAATTCCATGTTCTAGATCGGCATATTGTATAATTCGAACGCTTTTTTCCGCCTCAATCATTAATTTTTTGTGTTCCTTGGCCTGTTGAATTATGTTAGTGTTTTCTTCTTCTAGCCTTGGTAGTTGTGCGAGCTGCCTGTCGAAAGTTTCGTTATCATGAATGATTTGACGCTTAACTTCTTCCTTTTGTTCATTCAATTCTTCCTGCTTCCCTGCAAACAGATTTTCTACTGTAGCCTCTCCATCTAGTACATTGTGGCATGCATTGGTTATCTCTTTATGCTGCTCTTTCAAACTTTGTTTTTGTACAACATGCGAATCTATTTTATAAAATGAAATGCTCATTCTTTCTGGCTCTCTCGCTACAACGTACTGGGTAAGATTTTCCATCTCCGATTGCAGCTTATGATGTGTGTCATCAGTTTGTCTGAAGCCTCTGCCTTCTGCCGAATCACCTTCGTCGATGTTGTGGTTTAATGTTTGAGTTTCCTTTGCCCGATCTTCGAGTATTTTTACAGGTTGCATATCTCCCCAACACTCATCTTCACCTTCCACATTATTAGACTTAAATACAACTTCAAGTTTCGCATTAGCTTCTCCTGATTCTTCAACACTGTCACTTTTATTATGTATGTTATTAGCAATCAAGTTAATTCGATTTAAATTATCTTGAATAGAGCTATGCAAACGTTCCATGGATTGTATTGCTTTAGTGAACGCATCAGATATCTTGCCTTCATTTTTAAGATTGCTGATAAAAGTTTCGGTTTCGCTTTTTAAAGTTTGCAAATTTGAAAGCATGTGATTCAAGTTTTTGGAGGTTAGTTTGATTGTTTTCAGCTGCTGAATAATTGAACTCAGTCTATTCAAATGTTCGTTTTTAATATGAAGTTTGTCCACTGTTTCCCACTGTCTGATTCTTTCTTCTTCAGCTAATTTAAAAGTTTCATTGGTGTATCTTTTCCCATCCTTTGTTAGGCCGTCAACCATTTCTATCAAACGTTCTAACTGCTTCTCTTTTGCTACCTCATCTCCACACCTGTTGTTAAACAAAATAGCACGAGAACCGCATTCTTGTATAAGAGCTTGGAGGTTTGGTTCAGTTTGTCTTGACAACCAGGCTTCAAAGGTGAGATTTTCTTCAAGAACTTCATCATCTGTTTCGAAATTGTCCCCACAAGTAAAAAGCAAAATTCCGTGTTTTTTCATGAAACCACTTCCAAAGATTTTCTTTAAAACTTGTATTGTGTTGACGTCTTCGGCCGTGAAACGACATCCATACCTTACCACAACCACTATAGCGTGATAGCCTTGTGGGTTTATGGCCATAGCCTCAGACATGACGTTAATAACTTGCTCAATGTCACCTTTATTATTAAGTCTAATATCACGTAGGCCAGGTGTATCTACAACATGAATATCTCGTTTGTGAAAAGTGGAACATCCATCTTTTGTTGCAAATTTCTTGGCCATAACCGCATTATTTTTTCCGAAAGTGTTTTGTCTCAAAATAGAGTTCCCCGTAGCACTTTTTCCTTGTCCTGTTTTTCCAACCAGCAGAATATCGATGACATCTTTTCCATAACAGGAATTCATTTTTTTCTAGAAGTAAAGAAACCAAACTTTTAATTACAACACTCTTCAGTGTTAAGTAACTCTACTTTACTTTACTTTTTCCAATGTTCATTTGAACTTCAATTTACTATTCTAATAGCAAAGTTTGACTAATATGTTAAGTGTTGTCTGTTTTTACAAGCACTAAATGAATTGTCTAGAAAAAAAAAATAAACAGACATTATACCATACTCAGATTTTAAATATTAGTGGCACAGATCTTAAAAAGTGTATAGACTAGAGTAAAACATCAACTTACATGAATCTTGTAATTTATATATTACAGAAAGTATTTGATGAAGTATTTCTGACGAAAAAATGTATGTGTCTAGTTGGTGTAGATCTATAAGTTCTTTGATGTCACCTCCTTACAGTTTGGCTTACACCAAGTAGTAAACGGGCTGATTGATGCTGACTCCCTGTTGAATGTCTGACGCTACAGACACCAGCTGTATTTAAACTGTCGGGTACAACAGGAAATGCCGAGCCCCGTTCTACGTCACTATTAGGTAACAAAGAAAGAATACCGAGAAGACAGACCCGCTGGGGATCTAGACGCATCCTGTTCATTGTAGGTTTTTCTAATTAATAGATATTCTAACTAATGGCTATTCAAATTAATCGAAGGTCCTGAACATTACGCAATAATACTAGCTCCTGTTCCAGCTATTTGACATTTTGTAATCATGTGAGATTGAAATTATCAGGGTACTAATCAATATAATTGATTGCATTGTAACCAATATTTAATGTTATATATATATATATATATATATATATATATATATCACACTATAGCCCCGTTGGCCACTTGATTTTTCCATAAAATGTTACAATTTTCTTGGTCTTCTGCTGCTTTAAATGGTTTTTATCGCATTTTATTCCATTCCTTGTCGTCTTTGTCCTTCTCATCTTCTCCCTAGTTTGTTTTAAATATCTCGTGCACGCCAGGTTTGATTTACACCAGTAAAACTACCCTACAAAATTAAAACTAACACATAAAGACAAACTTAATAACGCACTATAATTTAATCATTGCGTTACAATAACAGATAACTCTGGTTAACAATGCGGTGCAGAATATACATTTTTGTGCAACTTTGGACTAAATAAACAAATGTAAAATTTAAGCTGAACATTACCCTAACACCTGACAGAGATAAACTGTTTTGGTAGCCTATACAATTTAGTTATGTTTTGGAAAATACTGTTTCAGATTGTCATGCTGTAATGTTCTTTTCTTTTGCAAATTTAAATACATTGATGCACTTTTTATTTTCTAATTGGGTGATTCTGGTCTCAAGTACTGGATAAGTAAGGCGGTTTGGCGTTTTCC